GCGTTGTCTATGAACCTACAACCTGGGTTATTGCATTGTCATGGGCTATAGTGTTCTCATCTCCAATATTCATTCCAATCCTAATGATATATCAATTATTAAAGGCTAAAGGAACGTTTCTTGAAGTAAGTAACACATTTTGAATGTTGAATCAATGTTCGTAATTTAATTAAATCTCAATATTTTTTTATCTTCTAAGGAAATAAATGAATATAGTTAACTGGATTGTTGACTCCGATTTTTTACTATTGACTACATATCTCTTACTAATTTTTTTCTTAGACTGATGTCAACATTACTAGTTAGATGTGACATTGCCGTTATTTTTGTTAAGAAGTCCTTGTTTAAGTTAACCCGTTAAGTCTAGATAATATGATAAGAATATATTCTTATAAATTTCTTAAAGCCTTGACCTAAAATAATCGGAAGTCAGAGTAATAGAATAAGGATATTGTTGAGTTTCACTAAAATAAAGGGCCAATTAAAGTTAGACAACCACTGAAAAGCCCTTTTGTCCCTGTACAGGACCCCTCTGCAGTGTATATACGCAACTCCACAACCGGAAATTGAACACAGAATCTTCGGTTTCACGTGTGAGTGTCTAAACTTTGAACCACTAAACCGAAATACCAAGCTGTACAAACCTAAGTTTAGTTAGTTCATGATAGAGCACGACTATCTTCAATTGTCTTCAATGGGTACCTTCCTCACAACTGATACAGTTGAACTTGACTGGTTATAGCTTCCCATTAGAAATCCGGAAATTTCCTCTTGAAGCTAGCCACTAGTAATTGCATGAAAACTGCCAGTATGGGTTTGTGAAGATTATCGAATTTCACTGGAATGATGAACTCATCAAAACTGCTCACTACTGAAGACAAACAGCAATCCAATGCTTTAAGATCTTCAGTGGTTGATTAACCAATATCGATTCTGGATTTTAACGTTAATCAAAAATGATTTGTTTTCGGTTAATTCTTCTGTCAGTGAACGTCCTTATGTTTACCATGATAGCAGTACATGAAATATATTTATATATTAACCGTTCATCAAATTCAATTTTCTAACCATATCGTCACTGTGAAGCATAAAAACAGAAGCCTCAATATTGTGTTAAGTTTTCGATTTGCATTGTTGGTAAATTTCAAAGCACCTACTCGACAATGACTTTCGATAGTTCCTCAAATAATATCAGTTTATGATGAGTATATAAATTAAAATAGTCTCCACAAACAACTGAATCGGCATTCAGTTTTTTAACACAGTTCAATGTCTCTTTACTACGGCTATGAATTTTCATGAAAATTGTGTTGATTCAACATATTTAATGTTAATCATTATAATATCTCATCACAAGGATTTTTGTCACAGTAAGTTATAGACCATGAAGCATCTTTCTACAAATCATGTTTGGCAGGTCTCGACAACATTTTAGCAAAGTCTACTGCTCAAGCATTCTAACTACAGATATAACATGGCTTTGCAAATATTTATAGTCGATCGACTGTACAGACTGTGACGTTAGCACAATAGTAATAATTTCTTGATACTAAAAATCAAAACCCTTAGTCGTTTAATCAAAATGTATTTTTATAACTTCTTACTCACACAATTAATTTCCTATACTTTATAGAGATTACGTTTTCTTACGACACCTGAAGACCGACCAGTATACGGGGATCAACAAATTACACTAAATGCTATTGGTGAATATGTACCAAAGAAAATGTCGAAAACAAATAAGTTATACGGAAATCCTCAATGATATCACGTGCAATATTGATGCAATTATAACATTCACCTCAATCTTCTAACTGCTAATTTACTATGATATAAATATACATTTTTTACTTTCAAGATTTATTATGTCACACATGTTCAGAAAGAACATATATATATATACATATGTATTTGTCTTAAATATATCAACTCTCTTCTTTTTTTGCTTGGACCAATACCAAGTATACACTTATAGTAAAAACGTCTACAATTATTCATATAATTACAAAATATTATCCTTATTCTAGATATTCATACCCTATACTTTGAATTTCAGATAATATGAAACTATTCATAACTAAGAGTTTGACAGGTCAACGAAAACTAAATCTTTTCTTTATCATTAGCTACCTTAAAGATCTGTTGTGTGTTTTTTTTTCATTATCTCAACGATAGCAGCATAGTTGACTATCATGTTTCAGTTCATTTATCATTTCATATTTTTAAAATTGTAATCCTTATACCTTCTATATTCTTCTCAAGAAATATCATGGACAAGAGACTACCGAATACTAGAATTATTCTCGATGACAATGAAGATTAACATCTATGAATGAGAAGATGGTTAAAAATTCATATTAATAGTTTGACGTCATACAAGTTACTCTTATTTAAGTGTCTATATATTCTTTGAAAAATAAGTTTTAACTATGAATTCCACAATCTTTAAGTTATACTCCACTATACATTGCAACTTACATGGTACATATTTATAAAAGTATATTGTTAACTAATTATTCTGAATAAATTTATACCAAAAAATAACTGAATAATTTTCAAGACCTTTATGCTTTATAAAATTTTATACTACTTAATTTTGTTTAAGTAGCTAAATGATAATAGCTTCAATATTTTTGGCCTTTTCGACGTGTTTTTTAGATTTACTTAAGTTGTAGAATTATGGTCTACTATGATATTAGTACTGAGCTAATAATAGACCTAATCCTAAAATTTTAGACTTGTCATAATATAATCTATAAGATCTTACGTAGAAGTCATACCATCGTCTACATCAACTCATCGTAGCGTAACAATCACCAATACATGAAGTATAACAAGCTTAGGCTAGAGATAGAACAATATATTTAATATGAATAAAAGATATAAGGTAACATTCATTAGGGACCACGCCTGCGTGGCCAAGCCATGCCATTCAATCAACTCCAATTCACTCAATACATTCTTTCCACCTTCTCCATCGTTAGGTATTTCTCCGCGTTAAATATTGAATATCTATTTTCCGAGTTGTCTCGTGTTCAAATTTGAGGATTGTGTGGTTATGGTCCAATGCCACTACAAAGTTAGACCACGGTGAGCTAACAAAATATATGTGATTTTTATCGATTTAAACTTTGATGCAGTTGTTAGCAGATAGAAATTCCCATTATATTTCAAGTAAAATCATCATGAAAACATGTTGATTTCCCTGGTCAACTAGAATGTGTAATCCTAGAGTCTAATCGATAATACAGTTTCAATTATATTATAATTAATTTGTAAATACTTTGAATAATTATTTTATTTACTTCATAGTACTAATTGATTTATAGCGAGCAATTTGATAATTTTACCGCTTAACTGTTGATAACTTGTAGTAGATTATTTTATTCAATCCCCTAATTACTTCGAAGCATTCTGCTCAGAATAAAAGTTGTTAAAATTTCCAGGTAAGCTTAATGCCAAACTCCCTAATTTTTGAGTCATCACCAGTTCCCTTTATTTCGGTTGTTAAAAAGAACTGTTAAATCCAGCCACTATCAAATACAACGGCCTCTTTAACCTTGATAAAGTATTTTTAATGCCACGTATCGAATTCTTCACATAAGCGTTATGAAACAACACGTGTTCAGTTCTTCTAATACTACTTCACTCACAATCTACAACATGTTCAACAATCTCTAATGGTTAACAATTTTTGATTCATTAACATTGAGATTTTTCAGAAGCAAACATAATCAGAATGATTAATTCATTCCTAAGAGAATGTTTGGTTATTTTTCAATGGAAAAATAATCGGTATTCGAAGTTTTGGTCAGTAGTTGAACTAAAATGAGTATGTCCACTATGATTTCATAACTACATCAGATTAACTTAATTAAGGGATATATTAAACTGTATAGCGAACTTTTTAAGAATGTAGGATTTTCATTAACAGTCTAGTTTCACAATATGTTTAAACGCTTAGAGGAAGTTGTATACCAACATGGGACTAACTTTATTTAAACATTTAAAACAATCCTTAGATTTCTTTACTATATTGGTTTGTTCTGTAAAACGTTATCATTCATGGATTATCTTAAAAACAAATATATCTATCATAGATTTGATTACAAACATAGATTTTTATAATCATTTACTATGAGTTATAATTGATGCAGTGAAAAGTTGACTCAAATTGTTAAACACAAATTTTACAGATAATTCATCATAAGCTTTTTAAAAAGCAAAAATACAATTTTAATTGACTCAATAATTCGACTAATAAATTACTAAAATCTCCACAAAACCCCCTTCTGATAATAATCATCATGTGCTCACTAGTGACTGACTTCAAGAGGTATTTCTTGGAGTGCTAGTGAGAAACCGTGACCAGTGAAGTTCAATTAAGTCTGTTGTGACATAGTAACTCACTAAAGACAATGGTGAACGGTGAGGAAATATTGCAAATTGGTTGAAGTTAAACAATAACACCATTCGATGTCAACTTAATGGTCTAGAGGTTAAGTGTTCGTTCATGAGAGATTGATAGGTTCTGTATTCGACTCTCGCAAACATCCTGGATGCTCACTACTAAAGAGTTTCATACTAGGACAAAACGGCTGTCCAATGCTTCCAGATTTTCCATGGTAGTCTCCCTTTAATTGACTTATGAATTCAACTATTAAAATGACCAAAATCTCCACAAAATTCTTTTCTGCAAAGAAATAAGACTTTAGTTTTTGTTGTTGTTGTTGTCGTATGACATTTTCTTCTTTTCCCTTATTTCTTCATTTCCCTAACATTGAAAAACTGTACGCTATACATACAAATTAATAAGCATATTGTAAAAATAAAATAAGTAATTAAAAGTTGATTGTAGAAAAAAGAAAAAGAAAAAAAGAAAGTGTTTTCTTATATAACAGAAATAATAACGAGAAATAAAAGAAAATAAAAAGAGAGAAAAGAAACTAGAAATGATATAGATATAGATATATATTCGAAATAAGGAAAAATGTAATTCATTAATAATTTCTTCGTTTACATTTAATTCCATAACTGATTACACGTCCATCATCATTAATTTGTGGAATACGTTTATCTCGTATAAAATAAATTGGACAATGATATTGTTTTGGACAAATACATGGTACTCGACCACCATAAATATAACCATCTGTACTTGGTGTTTCAATATAACAAAAATCATCCACTTTACATTGAGGCTAGAAAAAGAATACAATAAAAGCAGTTGATAAATATTTAAGAAGAAATAAAATTTAATATTATGTTTCTATTAAAAGAATACGTAGATAATATAGTCCTGTTTAGTGAGGACGCAGAGTCTTTTGGTAGTATTGATCAACAATGCCAGAATGTTTGGAATGCGCTTCTCTGCCTCGAAATGCAAGTTGTTGCTTCAGGACTGGTCTGAGTCAACACCTGAACTAAGGATAGGGAGTGAAGTGGTCAAACGCGTCGACAACTTCACTTATCTTGGAAGTCTGATCAGCCCTAATGGGTTGGTGTCTGACGAAATCTCAGCACGGATTCGAAAAGCTCGCTTGGCTTTTGCCAACTTACGTCACCTTTGGCGAAGGCGAGATATCCGTCTATCAATAAAAGAACGAGTATACTGCGCAGCAGTTCGTTCTGTTTTACTTTACAGCAGCGAAACATGGCCATTAAGAGTAGAAGACACTCGTAAGCTATTAGTATTTGACCACAGATGTCTTAGAAATATTGCTGTCGTCTGCAGGAATCACTGGGCAAGTAAAAGTGAGGTTATACCAAGGGTATTAGGGAACGATGGTAAATCAGTTGATGAGGTTGTTAATCTTCATCGACTGAAATGGTTGGGCCACGTGTTACGTATGCCTGAACACCGATTACCACGACGTGTAATGCTAACCGGTGTTCGGGATGGTTGGAAGAAAGTTAGGGACGGCCAAACCAAAACGTGGCATCAGTGCTTGAAGTCACTAACTTCTAATCTGAGCCATGTTGGTAGATGAAGACTACTTGGTTGGGGTCCACACGACTATAGTAACCAATGGTTGGAGACTCTGGGTGATATGGCTCAAAATCGGTCACAATGGCGTAGGTGTATACACTCTCTATCTTCCCTTAAACTAAGAGATTAAAATCGCTTCATATCTTTCTTTCTTCGTAGTAAATCTTTCTTTCTGTACTATATCCTTATATTCAATCTTTCTTTTATATATTACCACCTCTGAATTAACTGCTTTTCTTGTTGTGTTAATGAGGTATGAAAACTTGGACCGATACACATATGTGCCTGGTTCTACGTTTTAGCTGACTGACTAACTGATTAAATGAACTAAAAGTATAAAATTGATACTTGGTAAAGGTCAATAAAAGTCATAAACTGATGAAGTGTGAATTACGAGAGTTTAAACTTTATGAAGAATATCTATTCTCATAAAACTTTAGATGAACCATCTAGCAAAGTATTTACTAGTAAAATAAAACTATTGTTCATAACGTTCTTCTAATTGTACCGAACCAAATTGTAGTGAAAAGTGATACACGAACTGTTGAGTTATCTTTTCTACCAAAATAACAAAGGACTAAATATACAGAATTATACAATTAGACAACATTAGAAACATTTGAATATAGTTTCGCAACCCAAAAAGATTCCGTAAAATTTAGATTATATGGTGATTTGAATCCTGTTAGATGATTAAAACTATTCTGTAGTCGATTATATTATCCATTACCTCGAATAAAATGTACATCTTGAACTAAACAAATTATACGTATTGATTATCTATAAATCCCAGCATCATAGTGTTTTAGTGTTAAAAACGGTAACAAAGATTTCTCAATGTGTTTGATCATTTTGTCGGAGCAAGAAACTTTAGACAATCATTAACAGTTTATATGTTGGACATTTCTATATTACAGATTCCTTGAGATTTTGGTAAAAAGAAACTATTCACAGTGTTTTGATTCCAAGAACATCCTAATCCCTTGTTCTTGCAAGTTGTCTATAGAATATGGTTCATCGAAAAGAAATTGTAATGTCTAAAACTAAACATGAATTATCCTATCTCTTTGGAATACACTTTTAAGGGCTTTACAAAGCTCAGGATTATACTTCAAACAAAAATGAAATAAGTGATTTACAAGAGAAACGTTTTATACTAAGATTTTGACAATGAAGAACTCTAAATAATCAGAACACATACATCAAGTAAAATTGACTGTGATTTTCGAAATCGATAATTGATTGATCCTAAATACAATACACAAAGCTTAGTTCTTCCTTACTTCCGTAATTTTTAGTTTAATAGACCATAATGGCTCATCCTCCACTTATTTATGATCAGAAGGGGTTTCTGGAGATTTTAGAAATTTCACAGGATAAAATCATGAGTCAATCGAAGCTAGACCACCATGGAAAACCTGGAAGCATTGGACGGCCGTTTCGTCCTAGTACGGGACTTCTCAGCAGTGCGCATCAATGAATCTCGCGGGGTGCATGATTGTAGATACGCACTGGTGAGAAGTTCCATACTAGGACGAAACAGCCGTCCAGTGCTTCCAGGTTTTCCTTGGTGGTCTAGCTTCAACTGAGTTATTTATGAATAAAAATCTATCAAATTATTTCATATTCTACGAACAAGTAAGAAAAAAGTTTTAAATGGTCTGACTGACTTAAAAGTCCCAAAGTCTACTTACCTTTGATGCACATGTCATGTGTATATAATTACCACGAAAAACGCGATCTCCGAATTGAACACCTTTACTGTATCCATAACGTTCAACATCAGCAATGCCTAAACATCGACAATTGATGCGGTCTACCATCAACCATGTCCCTATCTGCCTCAACTCAAATGCGATTTCTCCCTCTTCCATAGTACAATAACGATGCCGTGCTTCATATATTCTGTTACAAAAATGAGCTTGAAATTCGTAATCACGCATATCTAAAAAATAAGTTTGCAAGAAACAAAAACAAAGTTAGACATTAACGGCTTATTTAAATTATTTTCCCTAATAAATAGTTAACTCATTATTAGGGCTACAAGAATTGGATGTGAAACCCAGTTGTATTTCGAATTCTTCAACGAAACATCTCTCCTATTTGTCATATATAAATGTTATAGGTAAGTTACATACAAATGATATCATGACATTTGAAACATAGTTGGTTAAGTTTCAGCAAAATATAGAAAAAATTAGTCAATCCCAATGAAAGACCACCAATTAACTGGTATGGTTTCATCTATTTTGATTATTACTAGAGAATAATACCAAGTTTCAATACAATAACCTAAAGTGTCTTTTATAAAGAATTATATGACAGTATTCTTAGTTAATATCAACATCTTTATGGATATATTCGATATACGTAACTGTGTAACATTGTATTTCCTGATATTTATCAATGAAAAAGATTTATATTTAAAGGCCCTCAATTTAATTTATCATCGAATTATTTCAAAAACTACAATCTTATGAATTTACTGTTACCTTGTCAACTATTTTGTAAGTAGAAAACTCATTAGAAGTAGCATTGTGAAATCATGATTAAAACAATAGAATAACATTTCTCAACAGTTTCAGTGAAAATGTGACAAAAGCACAGTCGGATGCTAAAAAACGATACTACATTTATTGATGAAAACTAGCCAGACTATCTAGTTTATAAACATCTCAGAATTTAAATATCTTACTACATATTAGTGTTACGATTATATTTACACAGGAAGATTCGTTGAATGGATTACTTTATAAAAGCAGTTCAAAGAGACAAGAATTCAAAGGGGAAAACTTTCTTTTCGAAGAAATTCTTTACTTAGGCTGTACATTCCTATATTATATATATGTCTATATATAGAACGTTGTAGGGAACCATCATCTCTCCTACTAATCAGTATGTCTAGGAAAATACGTTGGTTGTTCTTCTCTTCTTCGCATGTAAGAGAAATGTGCTTTTGACTTGTATTGAGTTCTTTTAATATATCTATAGAAAAATAGAAAATATTCCATCATAAAGTGATTTGAGATTTCAAATATCAAAGGTGGTTGAGTAATAATCAGGGAGTTAGATAAGAATGGTAAAATGAAAATAAATTACGGGTCAGAATTATGAAAGATAATTGTTCACTTGACAGATATGAAGAAAATTGGAAAACATAAAGGTCATAATAATAACTGAATAATAACCATGAAAACCTGTTAAAAGATAATGATAACTGATTACGGTTTAAAATTACAAAACACTACATTTAAAAAGAAGGAAGAAACAAAACTAAAACATACTACAGAAGGGAATTAGAGCTAATGAAGGCAAACAGAGTTTGGGCTTGAATTGGTGGATCGTCAACGCCTCAGTAGTGCATAAGTTTTTGATTCGACCTCCCTTAGATCCAGTTCCTTTAGTTGTGTATTTTTTTTGAAGGAGAACTCCTTTAGAGCGACGTGTCTAGAGTTGAAATAGAAACTATTCTGCATTCCTCATATAACTCACACAATTCTGATACGTAAATTGTTTTCATCCTACCATTATTCTTTAACTACTTTTGATATGTGAAACCTCGAATCCCTTTATGACAGAATCTTTTCTATCTTTCCATAGACATATATATTCACCAAACAACTATACATACGAGACTAATTTTCATCGCTTTATGATGCAATCTTTTCTATCCCTCTATAGGTATATATACAATACAACTATAATTATGGATGTACAGCTTAAGTAAAAGATTTCATCAAAAAGAAAAATTTCTTCGCTGAATTCTTTTTATCATTAAAATATTACCGGACGACCCATCTATCATGGTGTTATCAAATTCACAACTTTTACTATCATTTCTCTGACATCGAATAAACATCAAAGTACAACATATAACTGTTTTATCCTACTTTTGAAACTATTCAACAGCATATATTCCTAAAATCATCGAGGATCTCAAACTTGAAATTTCAATATCTGTAAGAAACTATGATTAATATCTTCTTTAGCTTTCTTAAATTCATATAATAATGTAATTGTTCAACAATATAATAAATTAGTGTTGTCACTCATTTGCTACCTTTTAACTATATATGTGTTTTAGCTTCAATAATCAAAAATGAAGTATATTTGAGCGAACAATTTCTTTTCAATAACTTCATCATTAGGCTCTACAATTATAAATCCATAATTATAATATTTTACAAAAGCCAAAACTAAGGCACGTATTAATGAATTTGACAATGTTATGTGTTAAAAAATGGTGAACGTTTGTATCTGTTACGACATATACACTCCAAAATTATGTTATTCGCAAATTAGAAAGAACATTTAATAAAGTTCAGAATGATTTGGAGTAAAGTATCCAGTCACAATAAGTAGAATAGTATTATAGCAAAATTGGAAATACAAAACAATTGTCTGAATAAAATGCATAGTACGAGAATGTAATCTTGTCAATTGAGATAATAATAAGATTGTTGTGTAAATATAATATATAATAAGGAGGGGTGTTATAAAGGTAATTACGATAAACGAATTGTGAATGATGGATGTGGAGATTAAGATAGAGGTAATCAAAAAAAGAAGGAGATAAGATGTTTATAATATTCAGTTTAGATATCCAGTGCTCCAGTCGTAGGCCAAGGTAAACATAAAGGCTGAAATTACATTTTTCTGGATACATAAGTCTGATTTTCTGGAGTTGATCCAGATGGCTTCGGTTATGTAGCTTTAAGTTAAGACTGCATTTCCATATTAGTATACTTTTTGTAATAACGTTTTCATAAACTTTAAATCCATGCTTTTCTATTGTAGTAAACAGTTAATTATCACCAGATGAATTAAACTTCACCTCATTGCACAAGTAAGTGGCTATCAAGACTCAGTAGCTAAGTGGATAACGCGATGGCATTTGAAGCTAACGGTACTGGGTTCGTGTCCCCGAGTGAAAATCAACCCTAAAATACAGTTACATCCAGCTGACGAGTCCCAAATAGGACGAAAAGCACGTCCTTGATTCCACTGATAGCAACTATCCATCTTTGCTTATAGTTAATCATCAGACTTTCTGTATAATGGTAAAATGATTAAAGAAAGGTCAGATCTTATCTTTTTTTTCTGAACAGTGTTGTACTTCTAATCAGTTATTAATCTGAATTGATAATGTTTGTACTAATAATTTATCATAATCTACTGAGATTAATCTGTCTCCATCTAATTGAATATGTTAAAACAACCATTAACTATGTGTATCTAATTGCCAATTTTATCAAATTGATCATTAACATCATATTTAACATCATATATTTATAGTATTCAAATACATCAAAATATGTACAATCTTATGAAACTATAATATAAATACTAAATATGATTTAATTAATTAAATATAAAAATTTACTTACCATCAGTCCCTATAAGCTTAAATGTTAATGATTTAACATCATTTGTTGGAAGCCATGTAAGTGGACAATTTGAATAACTTGAACAAATATGACGACGTTGTGCAAATGGAGATAATGAATTATAATATTTAGGCATATTAAAAAAGCCACCACGTTCAAGCCATGCACAAGGAGTTAATGATCGTCTCTGCTTAACATATAAATAAAATTAAAGTATTTTATTAAAAATTTGAAATAAAGTCAAATATCAAGTAATTTTTTTTCAGTTTAATTAAAATTTCGTATTAAAACTAGAAGATTTTTTATATAAGTTTTTAGTGGCCCATGGCGCGCAGGGAAGATGGCTGGGAAGCCAACTCCATTTCAAGATAGGCATTACTCAATATTTATAGGCAGACTCAAGCAGAATGAATAGAATGAAATGTCCGAAAACTAGAATAAGATATATTATGGGCTAAAACTTATAACTAACACTACAAGTTATATTGGTATTTACCGGACAATGTTTTAAGGATTATCTAATAGTCACTTTGTATATGATGACTAATATATAAACATCAAACATTTGACTAAAATACCGTTCACTTTAGATTGTCTAGTGATTGATTGATGATTGAATCACCAAGATCGATGAATACGTGTGGTTTGATTAGAACCAAATTTTTGTATCACTCGTGAAACTGGTTTTGTGATGTATAGAGTAATGAAACCATTTAATTCAGTGTAATCGTATAGAAAAATGATTATTTAGAATATGATAACATCCAAACATTCTTCCATTGAAGATAATAATTAATTTTGAAATTATCGGTTAAACCTGTACATTAGTTTATCAGTTTCTTTCATGAACAAATTTTACAGCCTCAAACTCATTGTCAAGCAATCATATGCTTTCTAATGTATTTCACACAAGGAAAAATATGTGCCAGATTTCATAATTGTCTAACAATTAAAAAATAATTGATGTTAATTATCAAAATCATTTCTGACAAGTGATATCAATCGGTAGGTGAATAGTATTCATAAATAACGCCATGAGTGATTTGTTTCTGTTTGGGTTCTTCGGATGTAAGAAGCAATACTTACCTGTTCCACAACAAAAATCAATTTTTCAAATTTGATGATGTACGTTTAGCAAACAGAATAAGTACTCAATATAGCATACTAAAATCTTTTCCCCAGAAGTGGTCAATCATCAGTCTCATTGACTATATTTAGGGTTGGATGAATTTCCAATAAGTGATGGCTTTATCGAAACTTCAAGAATTCGGTGTCTTCAAAGAACACTATTAAAATATATTACTCACACCTTGAGCTTCCTTAACTTCATGTAGTAGACAATTTTAAAATGATTTTATAATTCGAACAAGCTAAAAAAAATAACGAGATGGTTATGGCTCACTCAATATATCTGTCATGTTTTCTATTGAAACATGATCTTGGATTCATATTAAGAACAACATGAGTTTGAATACAGTGATGATAGTAATCATGATACTAATAAATCATGTATACGTTTTTAGCTTTAAAGATTAGCGATATTTTTATACACCGATTTACACAGTAAGTTAATCATCAACACATTCAGTGCACTTAGTTTCCTTGATAAACTTTTGTTAAGGAAAACAAAAAAAGATTCTGTGGTGAAATGAATTCAGCCCATTTCGTTTATTCCAAATCTTCTTTATACACGAACCGATTTGCATAAATAAATAAAGCGTTTGTTTATGGTTTAATAAAATGAAAACTCTAGTGTCCACAAAACCTTATTATAAAAATTTGAAAGATTTTGAATACAAGCGAATAGAAAGAAGAAGGAAGAAAAGAAGTGAGATCTATCATCATGGCAGTGTGAAGTGAATCACAAGTTCTTTTGACATACACAAATGACGGGTGACTTAATGAATAGTGGCTATTTCTGCTTAACCTAAAAGTTCGACCATATTATCTTCATTCATTGCTCGAAATGAAATAACAGTAACGAGTGAATCCTTCATACTTACTAACTTACGCCTGTTACTCCTAATGGAGCATAGGCCTCCGATCAGCATTCGCCAACCCACTCTGTCCTAGGCCTCCTTTTCTAATTCCATCCAATTCTTGTTCATTTTTCTCATGTCTATTTCCATTTCCCGGTGTAATGTGTTCTTTTGTCTTCCTTTTTTCCTTTGGCTTTCAGGATTCCATGTGAGGGCTTGTCTTGTGACGCAGTTGTGTGCTTTCCTCAATGTGTGTCCTATCCACTTCCAGCGCTTCTTTCTGATTTCTTCCTCCGCTGGGATCTGGTTTGTTCTCTCCCACAGTACGTTGTTGCTAATAGTGTCCGGCCAACGGATCTGAAGTATTTTGCGTAGACAACTGTTAATAAACACCTGTATTTTCTGGATGATGGCTTTCGTAGTTCTCCAAGTTTCCGCCCCATACAGTAGAACTGTCTTGACATTTGTATTGAAAATTCTGACCTTGGTGTCGGTTGACAGTTGCATTTCAGTTCTAGATGTTCTTCAGTTGTAAGTATGCTGCTCTTGCTTTACCGATCCGCGCCTTCACACCTGCATCAGATCCACCATGTTCATCAATGATGCTGCCCAGATATGTAAATGTTTTTACATCTTCCAAATCTTCTCCGTCAATTGTGACTGGATTGGTGGATAATGTGTTGTGTCCGAAAACCTTGCTCTTCCCTTTGTGTATATTGAGACCTACTGCTGCTGAGGCTACTGCCACACTGTTCGTCTTCTCCTTCATACCCTTTATATTTTCCAGTTATACGGCTAAATACGTTTAGGCCATTCACGTCCAACTTCTTTAGTACATGTCCCGATATTCTGCTTGGCAATCCCATCTTTGTTCTTACAATGTACGTCCTACTACAGTTTCAGGTAAATACGTATGGTAGTAATAAATACACACATAATAATTACCATTATTATCACTATTACTTTATAAGTGATAATAATATCTACCTCAAAATTTATTAAAATCCTCTATTATGTTAATGCAGTATATTTAGAATTATCTCATCACCTATTGACCCTTTTCTAATCACTTTTATAGTAACCAAGAAATTCATCGTTTTTATTTAATCAACTATCAAAATAAATTTTATTTGTAGAAAACCAGATGTATCTAAGACAGATGATTTACTGGTGTTAATCCGAAGCTTTTATCGAAGTTCTGAATAACATTAGCAGCCGCTGGTTTGTGGAAAACAAAAAGCGAAAAGGAACGCTCAAAATGCACATTGTATTAGATACCAACGATTTTATTCACAATCATAACAATATGCTCCCAAATAAACCATACCATATAATACATACATATAATACAAATGTCAAGACAGTTCTACTGTATGGGGAGGAAACCTGGAGAACTACGAAAGCAGTCATCCAGAAAATACAGGTGTTTATTAATAGCTGTCTACGCAAAATACTTCAGATCCGTTGGCCGGACACTATTGGCAACAACGTACTGTGGGAGAGAACAAACCAGATCCCAGCGGAGGAAGAAATGAGGAAGAAGCACTGGAAAGCACACAACTGCGTCACAAGACAAGCAATCACATGGAATCCTCAAGGCCAAAGGAGGAGAGGAAGAACAAAGAACACATTACGCCTGGAAATGGAAATAGACATGAGAAAAATGAACAAAAATTGAATGGAACTAGAAAAGAAGGCTCAGGACAGAGTGGGTTGGAGAATGCTGATCGGCGGCCTATACTCCATTAGGAGTAACAGACGTAAGTAAGTATATAATAGGATAATGTAAAATTTCAGCACTGACCACTGATATTCAATATATGTGGGGAAAATCTTTTTTATAAACAATTTTTTTTCATGATTGCTACTGATTTACTCAAAAATCGAATAAAACATTTCCCATAATACAAAGTTATACATTATGAATATACACACAAAATAGTTTCAAAACTAGATCTAAGTAATCTTTAAGTACATTTTAAAATGAAATCGCAACTACTTCTAAATACAATAAGATATACACCAAATGTTTAGTTAAATGTTTTTAAGCCTAAGAAAAATTCATTATTCACATGAACGATATAATAGAAATCATCTATTCAACATTATGACTAAAATAGAAACTTCAACTTTCTTTAAAAAAAAACTATTAAATTGACTTAACAACCTTTTATGAGTTGTGAAAATATCATTGATTAAGAATGAATTCTGTCAATTAAATAGAATTCATAACATAGATTAGTGTATAACTAACTGACTAAATCTAAATCACACAATTATTTATGAGTTAAGAAATATGTATTTATGTTTATTTCTGTAATAAAGACTTTGCATATAATATTATCATTCGACCAACAACAAATATATATAAGATCATTAACTAATCAATTGTTCGATAAAGAGTTTACGACAGTAATTTCACCTTTATTATGGATCATGATTAAGTTACCCTATTCATCACACCAATTAGGGTATTGTCCACATACAATTCAAATAGTTTACAGTTGTAGTAACAATAATTTAAAGCTAGAGTCTTCAGTTTAAATTCAACTCGTATTTTATCGAAAAATTTCGTCATATTAATAAATTAGACCAGTATAGTTTCTTAATTAGATCATTGTTCATCATCAATATTTTTCTGAATTAATTAATCGGTATAATATAAGAACCTTCATCTGGTTTGAGTAATATTAAATTTCACTGACTGAAATCATGAGTTAAATGAAGCTAAACCACAATGGAAAACCTAAAAGCCTTGGACGGCCGTTTCATCCCAGTATGGGACTCCTCAGCAGTGCGCCAGGCGCTTAACCAACTAGACTACTGAGCCGGCAACCAACGGTGTTAATGTCTAACTGGGTTTGAATCTCGCAGGAAACGGGATCGTGGATGCGCACTGCTGAGGAGTCCCATACTAGGATGAAACGGCCGTCCAGTACTTCCAGGTTTTCCATGGTGGTCTAGCCTCAAATGACTCATGATTTCAATCAATGAAATTTCTGAAATCTCCACAAAACCCCTTCTGATAATACTAAATTGTCACCTTCATGTAGAACATTGTAATGTGTTTTTGTCATGAGTATAGATTGGAAGGATAGTTTAGCATGAAATTAGTAAGCTATATACAACAACATTAATATAAACCAGTCACATTTGTTTCTATTTCAAAAATTCAGGTCACATAAATGACTGTTATACATTTTCCGGT